ATTTTGGTCCAATTAATCTTGTCATTGTCATCCTGGAATATGCTTAAGAAGTAAAAAGCTATGTGCTTCATCAGTTAGGGTAAAAAAGAATTGTTGCAAAACATATAACATGCCAGTAACATTAATCACTGCAATAATGATCCAATCCTAGACTCTTCAGTATTTGTTCATTGAAATCCAAACATTTTTTGGCCAGACAGTGTAGCTTCCTCAGATGATTGGTAAAATACTCACATTTGTCCGTTTTGCTGGGGACCCTGATGACTGTGGATCTCTTGAACACTCCCAGCGTGTTTGGCCCCATGTAGTTGAATCCTCCTTGACGGGCAGGTTTAGAGGGAGAGTGGTCTGTGAGTGGAATACATTCATATACATTAATAAACAATACCTGTTAAGTGTTTTTTGAATTGTAGTACGGAAGAACATTTGCACTTACTAGTGGGAGCATCCACATAGTCATTGCTAAGCATGTTCTCTGCGAATGTAATGTTAGACAGAAGTGCGGTGGAGTTGTGATTGTTGAGGTTCAGCAGGTCTTTGCTGGGCTTGAGAGGCAGATGAGGTTCTTTCAATACTTCCTCATCCTGGGAACATACATTCTTAACTCTGACCAGTGAAGGTCGCGATGGAGGGATGAGGGCCGCCCTGAAGGGAGGCTGAGAGTTGGAGTCATCTCTTGAGTCTAACGATGGTTTTTTGAAAAGTTGAGGTCTTGGCGCTGGCATCGGTGGCGCGTCGACCTCTTCGTATAAGTGACTGGCAAATTGTGAAAGCAGCTCTTCTTTGGGCTTTTTAACAGAGGGTCGGAGGGCAATAGAAGGTTTTGGTGCCAGTGCAGGTGGTTTGGCGAAAACCTTACGAGGACGGGGGAAAGGCATAGAGGTTTCATCATTCTCTGCGTTTGATTGACTTTCAAAGGCTTGTATTCTTGACCGGATGTTGCGGTCGTTTTGAAGGGAGGTCATGTTCTCACTTTGGTTCTCTTTAGTTTGGTTCATCTGCTCTCCCTGGATGTTGACACTGTTACTCAGTTCACTTTGAGGTTCCGAGCTGAAGACATCTAAGAGTTCCTGCAGATACTTGCCTGAATGGGCACCAGAAGTCTCCACAGGTGCTACAGGACAAACTTCCCAGCTGTCTTGCAGTGGTATCAGAGGTTGTGCATTGACCTGATTGGATGGGCTCAGGGGTTTCGCTTTGGAGCGTGGCTGAGGCAACGGATGTGTGGTTGAGGCTAGATCGATGGTGGGTTGGGAGTGGATGTTAGGGATCTGGTTTGAGTTTCTTGTGAAACGGGTTTGCAAGGCAATGATGGCCAAGGTGGTTTTTTTGGCAGCTTCGCTGAAACTGTAAAAGACCAAACAGGAAGGCCTTGTTCAGACTGCCAGCAGAAATCAGATTTTTTGCATATCCAGATATTATCCAGATGGATTCTGAACAGTCTGAACAGCAAAAAACCAAATGAAATCGGATTTCATTACAAACGGAGGTGATTTAAAATGCGATTTCAATTAGATTATTACAGATGTGTCTCAGTCTGGATGCTCTGACTGCTCAAATCGGATATTAAATTGTCTTTTGCGTCACTCTTAACACTAGGGTTGGAAAATTTCCGAAAACTTTCCATGGGAAGTTAATCTGGGGGAATTTTGGAAATATTGGAATTGAAATAATTCTGGAATCGTAAAAAAAAAAATATTACAATTGATGCTCGACAATAGAAATAGGCTTGAGGAATAGAGGAACACTCCTGAATCGGCATGCTAAATCAAACTATAACCTACATTCTTGTATGATAACTGAAAACTAGCTAGCAGAAGAAACGGCATCACAGTTGAGCTAGCACCATGATAGCTCGCATCTTAAAATGTCAATGAAAGGGTGTTAATTCTTACATTTAGCATATCTGATTTACTGGCTAGCTCGCTGCAGTATAAACACATTTTGATTTGATTTTAATACCATAGATCAAATATATTTACCCTAGTAATATCATCAAAACTTCCTTGACTGCTCAAATCCTGTAGTGTGACTTCAATAGTCCTGCATATTCTAGAAATAATCCATGCATGTGATTGAGGAATGTGCAGGATAGAAACTCAACTGAATTTGCATTACATTACTATGCTGTTTTTTTTTAAACTACATTTAAATTCCCAATTTTGCAAATGCCCAGTTTATTCCCATACATTCCCAATAATTCCCATATTTTCCCATTAATTCCCATGGAAAGTTTTCAACTTGAAGTGAAAATTCCCGGAATTTGCAAACCTACACACAACGATAACATCAAAACCGGTGACGGAAATGCCAGAAGTATTCATAACAGTATTCAAACAAAGCTGTGATTACAGCACAGAACATCACAACATATACCAGACTCCTCCGTTACTCGAGTTTTTCTTGTGCAACAAAGGAGTTCTTCACCGCAACTCTACAGGTGCTTATTTGGAGAGCGAGATGATGCACCTCCATTTTTCCTGCATCTGCTTTGAAAGCCTCATCAAAAACGTGGGTAAACTCGCGTCGTAACCAAAGCAACCCAAGCTGCTTATGTCTGGACACAAATCTGATGCAATTATTAGTGCGGACAGTCTGCCTGAAAAGATCTGATTTGACTAAAAATCCGATTTGCCTGCAGCCTGAACATAGCATAAGTGTAACAATTTCTGGTTCACATTGATTTGCGCACTCAAAACCTTGTCAATATGCACTAACCTCCGCTGGGATGTTGGTTGGAATCTGGATGTGTCACATTCTCCTCTAGTGAGTCAGTTAGTTGTTGTATGCGAGCGTCGTGGAAATGGTAAAGTTGTGGCAACCTGCTCCTGGGTCTTCTCCTTGATCACCTGCTCATAGGATGGTGGGAGCTGAAGCACAAGAGAAGGCAATCACTCGAACGCAAGCATCAAACCAAGCAAACACGTCACAAGTGTGCAGGACACATACAGTGCTAGAGAACAGAACATGGAAAAAAGTAGGGATGCACAAAATACAGGTAACATATCAATATCTATATATGTGACCCTGGAGCACAAAACCAGTCATAAGGGTTCATTTTTCCATCTGAAAGCTGAATAAATAAGCTTTCCATTGATGTATGGTTTGTTAGGATCGGACAATATTTGGCTGAGATACAACTATTTGAAAATCTGGAATCTGAGGGTGCAAAAAAAAAATTTAAATATTGAGAAAATCATCTTTAAAGTTGTCCAAATGAAGTTCTTAGCAATGCATATTACTAATCAAAAATTACGTTTTGATATATTTACGGTAGGAAATTTACAAAATATCTTCATGTAACATGATCTTTACTTAATATCCTAATGATTTTTGGCATAAAAGAAACATCAATAATTTTGACCTATACCAGCGACTTTTTATTTATAAATATTGGATATTATCATACTGTACATTGAAATGTTGTGATATTTACTTGAGCATACAGTACAAACTATTATTTGCAGCTTTTAGTGTGTTTTTGATTTGCTTATAGACAGTAGTAAATATTTAGAATATTTTATCAATATTTATCGGTTTTCAGCCATAACATGAAAATAATTATCAGCTTATCAATATCTCAAAATATCTCTAATATAATGACCTTTTAAAAATGCCCTGGAATTCTGACTGAATCTTCCTTATACAACCATTTTTATATTTTAAAATTATATGTAAGCAGATATCTGCCAGTTCTATTTGAGTATTATTTATATACTATTGTATACTATTATATATACAGTATATACTATTATTTTTTTATTGGTATTTTATATGTCTAGTTTAAGTTTGAGTGATTTTTATGTGCTTTTATCATTTTTATTAGTTTTTTTTATATTTCTATTGAGCTTTAATTTATTTTTATTTCATTTTTAGTCATTTTAGTACTTCTCAACTCAAACTTATTTCCATTAAGTTGCCAAAGCAACATTTACTTTATTTTATATTATATCGTATTTCATTTATTCAGCTTTATTTCAAAAAATGAAAATTATTTTTAATAGTTTTAGTTTTAGTTACTAATAACAACACTGATGTCTGCACAGTGTGACAGTGGTTTATTGAAAAGTTAGTACTCCATGTGTTAGTCTCTCAAAAACAAGGACAAAGTGGCCATGCTTTAAAAAGTAAAAGTAAAGACATGCTAAGCACACAAAGAGAATCCACACACCTGTCTGGTTTGTTAATGGCAGCTGTTGAACTGGATCTAGTGCCCTAAATCACTTGACTTGAGCAGAGGTCAGAACGCTCTCAGTCCAGATTGGTTGTGTTGTGAAAGCTGTGGATGAAAATCGGCCAGACGCCCCTAGATACCAAGAAGCTGCTGTTAACGGCTCTGCCGATAAGATGGTTATCTCTGGATGCCTGAAAACAACAACAGCATCGTTTCTTAATACAGCACAGCTATACAACCAGAGTTGTGGTTTTGTATAAAAAAAAAACATACAAGGAGATTCAATCTGGCATCAATGTTGGTGAGATAATCTATGGACCTAAATCACTCGGCCACTTTCTATTATGTCATTAAGGAAATTAAGAATAAGACGTATTTTTAAAATAATCATTTTCAGGCACAAAAAAGTGTATTTACAAATTTTCTGCCTCAAAATTGTAACCACACATTTTAATGGATTATATTGCATCATATTGTCTATTCTGGCAACTGTATCCAGCACAAACATGTATGAGATTGATTAAGTGTTTCATACAGACAAAAGTGTAGCCTAGCAGTTCTTCAAAACATGTTGTCCACACAATGTTGTTGTCCACGAAATCTGGCTTTTGGCATATCCTGATCCGTCCTTTAACCCGGTTCATGGACTCTATTCGTTAAAAATGGCCAAAATAGTTTCAGTAAGCTCACCTTCTTTCCCTAGAGCAGTCCTGTGTGAGTGAGCTCTTGCAGAAGCTGGAAGATTTGAGATCATTTAGCATTTTGACCATATATATATATATATATAATGTAAAAGCATGGCAGATTTACATCACATCCTACTCACTTCTCTTAAAGGCGGCTTTGATTGAAGAAAGGGGTCTTTGACTAAAAAAGCAAGCATGAAAAAAAAACAGATATTGACATAAAATATCTGCAACATTCATTGCCATGCTCTGTGGGGTATTCTGAACACTTTATGGTTGTTTAAGGTCAACAATCAGACACACCACGAGCGAATGGTCACAGTAAAAACAAAACATATACATACAGTACCATTCAAAAGTTTGGTGTCAATAAAATTGGTTTTGCTTAAAAGAAATTAATACTTTAAATCAGTAATGATGCATTAAATTGATCCGATATGACAGTAAAGATTACAAAATTTCTATTCCAAATAAACGCTGTGCTATTCATTAAGGAATCCTGGAAAACATGTATCATGGTTTCCAAAAAATATTAAGCAGCATTGATAATAATCAGAGATTATTCTTGAGCAGCAAATCAGTATATTAGAATGATTTCTGAAGGATCTTCAGGACACTGGAGACTGGAGTAATGATGCTGAAAATTCAGCTTTGATCACAGGAATAAATTACATTTTAACATAGATTCACATAGAAAACAGCTGTTTTTTAATTGTAAAAACATTTCATGATATTACTGTGTTTTGACCAAACAATGCAGTCTTGACGAGCATAAGATACTTCTTTCAAAAAATGTATAAAATCTTACTGACCCCAAACTTTTGAACGCTAGTTTTAGAATGTTTAACACACATGCATCCATGTACTATTATAACGAACATTTTTATCACCACAATATCTTCAACAGATAACAGTGACAGTTATTTCTCACATACAAAATGTTAACTTTTATTGCATTATTACTTCATAAAACTTTGCTTTAATTACTCTACATCTCAATGTAATGTCCTTTTCTATCTTTACAACTAGTTGCTTATTTCCACTGTAACATATCCTGCTTTGACCAGGTCAAGTGTGTTCAACAGCACAATGAAATGGATCTAACAATAATACTGTACCACAGAAACTACGTGTCAAAAAGACAGCAAACTGAACACTGCACAAAGCCTAAAGAGACATCAAAGAGACATCTATTTCATACCTCAGATTAGTAGACGTATGAAGAGTTAAAGGAATCCATTAGAGCAAATAACAGCAACATTTTAACATAGATTCACATAGAAAACAGCTGTTTTTTAATTGTAAAAACATTTCATGATATTACTGTGTTTTGACCAAACAATGCAGTCTTGACGAGCATAAGATACTTCTTTCAAAAAATGTATAAAATCTTACTGACCCCAAACTTTTGAACGCTAGTTTTAGAATGTTTAACACACATGCATCCATGTACTATTATAACGAACATTTTTATCACCACAATATCTTCAACAGATAACAGTGACAGTTATTTCTCACATACAAAATGTTAACTTTTATTGCATTATTACTTCATAAAACTTTGCTTTAATTACTCTACATCTCAATGTAATGTCCTTTTCTATCTTTACAACTAGTTGCTTATTTCCACTGTAACATATCCTGCTTTGACCAGGTCAAGTGTGTTCAACAGCACAATGAAATGGATCTAACAATAATACTGTACCACAGAAACTACGTGTCAAAAAGACAGCAAACTGAACACTGCACAAAGCCTAAAGAGACATCAAAGGCGTCTATTTCATACCTCAGATTAGTAGACGTATGAAGTGTTAAAGGAATCCATTAGAGCAAATAACAGCATCCCTTCCAAAAACTACAGTGTTCATTGGAAAAAGCTCTTTGATCTTTCAAGCTGAAGACTTGCATTCTCTTCCTGACTATGTGGACGTTTTAAAGCTGCTGTTTTCTGCATAGCTGAAGTGATGTGTCATAAGCGCAGAGTGAGAGAGAGAGTCAGGCCAGGCCTCTCAAAGGCTGCTTGAGCTCTGCTTGTGTATTTATATATACATGATAAATATACACAGTACACACAAAACAAAAACGTTTATTTTGGATGCAATTATCGCGATTAATCATTTGACAGCACTAATTGTTTTAATCTTGTCCCACTTTCAGACTTAAAATCTGAAAATCCATCATAAGGGTGCCATTTTTGATGTTAAAAATTATTGATATTAAAAGGGTAATGAACTGAGAAATCAAAATTCCCTTGCTTTTTTGACATATAAGAGGTCATTGTACTATAAAAATATTCTGTAAGTTTCAGAACTCAAAACTTTCTCAATAGTCTAAAAACAGCTTATATTGAAGCCAATCTGCCAAAACGACTGGTTGTGGAATGTGCCACTTTATGATGTAATAGTGTGGCTAAGCCCCGCCTCCGCAGAAGAAGATCAACGCCTGCTTCTACATCACTGCCTGTTTAGCTCCGCCCACCGATTCATGCATATAGTGTAAATAACGAGAGGCAAACACAGGTCTACGCAGAAACCAAACGATAAAGATGCTCCGAAGACAACAAGACCCTGTGCAGTGCTGAGTATTTATGCATTTTTAACCTAAGTCACAGCAGCGTCCATCTATGAAGGGTGTTGCTGTCAAACACACACAACTGTTAGCCAATCACAGCAGTCGGCGTTTACTTCCGAGTCTACAATCCGCCACGCCTATTCAAACAGAGCGTTCAGATGAAACAGGACAGAAAATAGCCTATTACTTCTAAATGATGTTTTTTGATGTAAAAATCTTGATAACATTATAAGACTATATATAACATTATAACATTATTATACCTAATAAAGTTTCTGTATTTGGTTACCGTCAGTCAAGAGCATCCTTGAGACCAAATATGTGATCTGTGAATAAATCAATCAAGGTAAGAAAAATAAAATTTCCAGGCTGTTTCATAAAAATGTCAAAATTCTCCTGTAATGCATGTTCACTGTTGGACATTATTAGTTGACAAGTTAAATGACTTACAGTGTATTTTTAGAGAGTTTACTTTCTACAACACCACAGGGTCAGAAGTCCCCATAGTTAAACAAACACCCATGATGCTCTTGTGTCTGAAAGTGAGAAAATGCCTATAGCCATGTTCCAACATCCCAGAAAAGCGCCTCACTATTATTTTAAAGTTAAATGTTCAACAAGCACATATGAATGTAGTGTTTGAGTGTCCATATACTTTTGGTCTTGCAATGCAAGAGGTCAAAATTGAATTTGTAAACCTCAATGGCTGGTTTATTTTTGACAGTGTTTTTACACAATTTTACACTGATGCTGAACATTCAAAGATATGTAGCATCAAACTACACAAGATTTCAGAGTCGTTGAATCAGATTGATTCACATGATTCAAATAGAGACTAGAGCCTCAAGCATTATATAATCAGCAAAACAACTCGATTACAATTGTAACTTCTAGCTGATGATAACAAAAGAATCTTGTTCTTGAAATGTTCACTTAATTTATTTACATTAGGGCTGCCAAATCAATTAATCGCGATTAATCACATCCAAAATAAAAGTTATGTATTTATATATAAATATTTGGATGCGATTAATCACGATTAATCGATTTGACAGCCCTGATTTACATATTATATGAAGTACTCAAATGGTGTGTGAGGATATTGTGTTTCCATCTTACCTTATAAGTGTTCTGGTTTATTTCTTTCTGAGCGGTCTGCAAAACACAAAGCATAAAACATGAGCTAAATTCTTTGTAGCACAATTTTATTTAACTTTCTACATTTGCTACATTCAGCTTCTAAATCCTGAATCACAGCTGGCAGCAGTGACGCTCTGTGTGGCTGGTTAAACAGTGCGGTGCGTTCCTGATCAGCCTGTTTTAAAGAGCAGAGCTTAAGGAGAGAACTAGAAGCTACAATGACAACAAACACAGTTTTTTATGAAATGTCGCTCAGCATTCACATCACTCAGGTCCAGTCGAACAGCTCTTATAGCAGGTTTCTGGTTTCACAGGATTCATTTGTGTCTCTCTTTCACTTTTGAACACATTTTCAGCATATTTAAACCTCGAACTTAGTTAAACTACAAAGCTTGCAGAACAAGACCAGCATGTTTCACTACACAAAAATAACATCCTTGTTTCTCCCGACAGCATCAGGCATTCATAGAAAATGTTTAACTTTCCTCAGGTAATGAAAGTGAACTCATAAAACAATGACTGCTTTGGCAAAGGGGTCTTTGTGTGTCTTTGTTTCAGTTGTCTACTGACCTATCACTGTCCTCAGACACACCTGCTGGGTCCAGTTTCTGCTCTCACTGTGTGTGTGTGTGTGTGTGTGTGTGTGTGTGTTAAAGTATGAGAAAGTGAAATAACCCACCTCACTCATAATAGCATTTGTGTTTTGAGTTTGCTAAATTATTATCATTTAAATCACTGTATTATTCACATGTATATAAGATAAATAATAAATTTAGCTGCAAAACAAGACCCATTACTTATTAAGGATATTATTGGAAATATATAGTCCTACCTGCATATTGGAGAGCACAGTAAGCGGACTCATTCCCTGCCTTCTGATTCAAATGTGTGCGAGAGAAAGCACAACTCCTGGTAAAAGTGACGTCTCTTTTTTTCATTAGGTATGTTGACAAAGTCAGGGTGCCATGCAGGAATGCGGTCAATCAGGAAGTATTTCTTTTCTGACCAAAACAATAGTTAACCAACCATGTAAAAACATCATAGATTTTCCCTATCGGTACAGATGCCCACCTTAATCATGTGAGAGGTTCATTGTTTTAAAGAATTACATCCTGATATTGCACTACACCATCAGTTTTATCACTGTTACTGCTCCAGGAAGGTGGTGCGGTTTTGTACTGATAGCGAGATAGCAACCAGCTCTCACTTAAAAGAGTCCTGAAACTAGTACAAGAGAAGATACCCTATGTTCCCTATGGAAATTCTGGTCATAACAAAAATCAGGCTTGACATGCTGAAAACTGACTGGTGGTGCTAATTTATACTGCAATATAAAAGATAAATAATAAATTTAGCTGCAAAACAAGACCCATTACTTATTAAGGATATTATTGGAAATATATAATCCTACCTGCATATTGGAGAGCACAGTAAGCGGACTCATTCCCTGCCTTCTGATTCAAATGTGTGCGAGAGAAAGCACAACTCCTGGTAAAAGTGACGTCTCTCTTTTTCATTAGGTATGTTGACAAAGTCAGGGTGCCATGCAGGAATGCGGTCAATCAGGAAGTATTTCTTTTCTGACCAAAACAATAGTTAACCAACCATGTAAAAACATCATAGATTTTCCCTATCGGTACAGATGCCCACCTTAATCATGTGAGAGGTTCATTGTTTTAAAGAATTACATCCTGATATTGCACTACACCATCAGTTTTATCACTGTTACTGCTCCAGGAAGATGGTGCGGTTTTGTACTGATAGCGAGATAGCAACCAGCTCTCACTTAAAAGAGTCCTGAAACTAGTACAAGAGAAGATACCCTATGTTCCCTATGGAAATTCTGGTCATAACAAAAATCAGGCTTGACATGCTGAAAACTGACTGGTGGTGCTAATTTATACTGCAATAAGTAAAAATAAATAGTAAAAATAGATGACAAACTCCATTCAAATGTTGGTTATGTATTTTTGACTGGTTCTAAAAATAGTCTTAACCGGTTCTTAAAAAATGCTACTAAACAAGTACAGCAACTGAAATACATATCCTTTATGCATAAATGACAGCTTATGCCTATCTATCTATCTATCTATCTATCTATCTGCAAATGCTATGAGAATTTGAGTATTTGTGACCCTGCCTGTGAAAACCCAGCTAAAGTCGTTTTTTTGTGATTTACTGTGAAAAATATTGTGAAAATTATCCTTCATAAAGATGGACAAACTCCATTCATTGGTTATGTATTTTTGACTGGTTCTAAAAATAGTCTTAACCGGTTCTTAAAAAATGCTACTAAACAAGTACAGCAACTGAAATACATATCCTTTATGCACAAATGACAGCTTATGCCTATCTATCTATCTATCTATCTATCTATCTATCTGCAAATGCTATGAGAATTTGAGTATTTGTGACCCTGCCTGTGAAAACCCAGCTAAAGTCGTTTTTTTGTGATTTACTGTGAAAAATATTGTGAAAATTATCCTTCATAAAGATGTAGAACATTCTGAGAAAATATAACCTTTATATCTTTAATATTGACTGAGTAAGGCCATGTCAAAGATTGAAATCATAGTGGAATTAATGGTTGAAATGAAAAAATTTTATGCTTGTTATCTCATAATTAGATTTTGAGACTTTAGCCTCATAAAAATATGAGTATAAGTCACAGGGAAAGCTTAAGACTTCTCATTACAAATTTGGGAAGATGGTTGGAGTGGGTTGTGTTTTCAAATGCAGGTTATAAGCGACCCAAACTCACAGTTGTTGCAGAGATGGAGTTCGTGTGGAGCAGAATTTTCCTGTGAACCAAGTCGCTCGGAGACACTGCAAATCATGAACTGCTCGTGTGTAAAAGAACACAGTGCCATGCTTCACTCTAAAACTTAGCTAGTCAGACGTTGCCATTTTATAAACTAAACCATGCATTGCTAGAATGCATAAAAAAGTTATTGACCAGCTGGCAAGTAACACCATTTCATATCCTCATCAATGGTGATTTTAACTTGCGTTTGGCCCTCAGCTAGTGTTAATTTTGGACCCTTGCTGAAATGCTATGGGTGCGCCACACACACAACCACTAGATGGCGCCACTAACTTGTGCAGTGCTGCCAGTAGCAACACATTTGTGTGGGTCATACTTCTCCGAAATCCACATGAATATGGAAAAATCATTAATATAATAATTAATAAATATACATCCATGGTTTATACTAATCTTCATACACGAAAACATTCACACATGCCTGACATCAGCTGAGAATGATACACATCAAATATGGGAGCCAACTTTTGGTGTTTTGTTTACATAGAGACTGACATGGTGACAAAATAAAACTCAATGTAATTTGATCACAAGGGGCAACAGGAGATGCATGTTACAGTAATTCCAGGATTACTGTAAATGGCAATCTGTCTCTGCCTACCACTTGCTATGAGATAGATGTTAATACCAGGGGCTGGTTACATAAACAAAGCCACTATGTTAAGACTGTGTCATAAAGGGGTCCTTGATTATGATTTCACTTTTTAAACTTTAGTTAGAGTGTAATGTTGCTGTTTGAGCATAAACAACATCTGCAAAATTACAACGCTGAAAAAGTTCAATGCAAAGGGAGATATTTTATTTTACAGAATTCGCTTTTTAAGGCCTGGTACACACGGCTGATAGGGAGCTTCTTCCTGGGTTGGTGACATCACAAACCCCAAAAATTTACATAAAATGAACACATGTTACAGTGCACCCCATAAACACAATCAAGCCTTCGAAAATAGCTGATTTGCCACCCCTTTAATAACTAGTCTGACCAACAAGAATTTAGCCAAGTGGTAATCAGTCATACATTTCGGATTCAAATTAGACCAATCTACATTTTTATGTAACTGACTTTAACAAGTTATGACCAAAATCGGATGACTAATGTCTAAGACTTGTCTAAGTGTTTTATGCAGGTGTAAACAGGGCCTTTAAGAGAAATAAAAAGCGAAGGAGAACTAGAGTTTGTGGAGGAAAAAAGAAAGCTCTCTTTCTGACACTTTGAGACATCAAAGTGATTTCCATTCTCAACTGGAAACATGTGCGACATGGATTTTGAGGATAAAGACCTTGTTTAGACAAGTTGAAAAGCATTATGAACAGACTATGGGATAGATTTGTGCTGACAGAGTGTCTCTGTGTGTAAAGCCTGTCTGTGCAGGCCAATACTTTCTTTCACTCATTGTACTGAGAGACAAAACCTTTTCACACTGACCTGAAATCAGTCTTCCAGATTGTGGCAAAAGGCACTGGTTAAATCCACTCTGACAGTGCTAGAGGCCTGTTCGTAAAACCTCATTCCCAATCATAGAGAAAACGGCAGATTTAAACACACTGGCACACCTTAACGGGATAGTTCATGTAAACATTTCAATTCTGTCATCATTTACCTACCATCATACCGTTCCAAACCTCTACTGTAAAATGTAAATACACTCTAAAAATGCTGGGTTAAAAAGGGACAAACCCAGCTATTGGGTTGTTTTGACCCAGCGGTTGGGTTGTTTTGACCCAGCGGTTGGGTTGTTTTGACCCAGCGGTTGGGTTGTTTTGACCCAGCGGTTGGGTTGTTTTGACCCAGCGGTTGGGTTGTTTTGACCCAGCGGTTGGGTTGTTTTGACCCAGCGGTTGGGTTGTTTTGACCCAGCGGTTGGGTTGTTTTGACCCAGCGGTTGGGTTGTTTTGACCCAGCGGTTGG